GTGTCCTGGGGTTCCGGCTTGACGGGGCGGAGGCAGGGAGAGCCGGGCGAGGAGGAGGACGCCCCGGGCTGCTCCATGCGCCTCGGCGTCCACGAGCTCCCACGTCGGCGAGAGAAGGACGGGGGAGCGGGGTACTCGAGCCTCGGCATGTTGCCGTCCTCGATGTACTCATTATCCCTTAATTAATAATCATTAATTAATCCTAACAAAAATAATGCTTTCTAAACAAAAAAAAATTCGTTATGACTCGTGGCTCACGAGGTTGGTTATTATACAATTTCCATCTGTCCGTTTCAAAAAAATAATACAATTTCCATCTGTCAAGACTCATACGTGGCTCATGAAGGCTTGATAAGTCCACTCTCAATGGGAGGTACCACTATTAATAATAGGAACGAAGCTCTGAATGCACGGACACGGCTCACTCTCAATGGAGCTACCACCATGGGCGCCCTTCCTCGGCGTCGCGCTCGCCACCGTGCTCTTCCTCGAGGCCGTCTTCCGTCGCAGCCGTCAGGCATACAACCTCCCGCCGGGCCCTAAACCGTGGCCGATCATCGGCAACCTGAACCTCATGGGCGCGCTCCCGCACCGCTCCATCCACGCGCTCTCCAAGAGGTACGGCCCTCTCATGTACCTCCGGTTCGGATCGTTCCCCGTCGTGATCGGCTCGTCGGTTGAGATGGCCAAGTTCTTCCTCAAGACCCACGACATGGTGTTCCTCGACCGGCCCAAGATGGCCGCCGGCAAGTACACGACGTACAACTACAGAGACATGACCTGGTCCCCGTACGGCGCCTACTGGCGCCAGGCGCGCAAGGTGTGCCTCACCGAGCTCTTCAGCGCCAAGCGGCTCGATTCATATGAGTACATCCGGAGCGAGGAGATGCGCGCGCTCCTGCGAGACCTGCACGAGGCCTCCCGGTCCCGGCGCGCCGTGGTGCTCAAGGACTACTTGTCCACCTTGAGCCTGAACGTGATCACGCGCATGGTGCTGGGCAAGAAGTACCTGCACAGGGAGGCAACGGACGAAGGGGGCTCCGGCTCCGCGACGACCCTGGCGGAGTTCAAGCGGATGGTCGACGAGTGGTTCTTGCTCAACGGCGTGCTCAACATCGGCGACTCCATCCCGTGGCTGGACTGGATGGACCTGCAGGGGTACATCAAGAGGATGAAGAAGCTGAGCAAGATGTTTGATCAGTTCCTCGAACATGTCGTGGACGAGCACAACGACAGACGCCGAGTCGAGGGGGAGAGCTTCGTCTCCAAGGACATGGTGGATGTGCTACTCGAGATAGCCAGAGACCCCAATCTTGAGGTGCAGATCGACCGGGATAGCGTCAAGGCTTTCATTCAGGTAAGCCCGTGCAACTTCCCCGTTATTCAGTAAAAGAATTCGAGTACAAGGAGCTTTTCAGATCGAAGACCCCGAGTTCAGTTGCAACATCACAGGCTATGCGGATGCTACGATTAATTCTGTACCATTGCACACACTACCTAATCACTTGCAGGACCTCCTCGTCGGCGGCACGGAGAGCTCGGCGGTCGCAGTCGAGTGGGCGATCTCGGAGCTCCTGAAGAAGCCGGAGGTGTTGGCCAAGGCGACCGAGGAGCTGGACCGCGTGGTGGGGCGAGGCCGCTGGGTGACGGAGAAGGACATCCCGAGCCTCCCCTACGTGGAGGCCATCGTCAAGGAGACGCTGCGGCTGCATCCGGTGGCGCCGATGCTGACTCCCCGGCTGTCCCGCGAGGAGGCTTCCGTCGGTGGCTACGACATCCCCGTCGGCACGCGCGTGTTCGTCAACGTGTGGTCCATCGGCCGCGACCCGGCGGTGTGGACTGCGCCGGAGGAGTTCACGCCGGAGCGGTTCCTTGGCAGCAAGATGGACGTCAAGGGGCAGGATTTCGAGCTGCTGCCCTTCGGGTCCGGCCGGCGGATGTGCCCCGGGTACAGCCTCGGGTTGAAGGTGATTCAGGCGAGCCTCGCCAACCTGCTGCATGGTTTCGCCTGGAGGCTCCCGGACGGCGTGGCGACGGACGAGCTCAGCATGGAGGAGACCTTCGGTCTGTCGACGCCGCGCAAGTTCCCGCTAGAGGTCGTGTTAAAACCCAAGCTCCTCGATCACCTCTACACAGCGGGTCATCGAACCCAATAAGAGTTGCGTGAATGGCGCCTCCTGGCGCGTGCCACGTCGAATGCCTGGGTTACTCTCACAAAAAAAATGTCTGGGTTGGCCAGAAAAATAAAAGGGACAAAAAAAGTGGGGAAAAGTGGAAAAGTTGTCGACCGAAACCCTCTCACCCTCACTTCCTCCGCCTCCCTTCGCCTCGAGCGCCTCCTCCTCCCTCTCCAACGCCGCACCCTTGTACGTGTGCCGCCGCCTCACTGGCGCCCCCTCCTCCTCCTACCTGCCACCGTCTCGCCGCTGCAGTCGTCCCCCAGATACACCCTCCCCGAAGGAAAGCACAATCCCCCGGCGGTCCGGACCGGATCCCGCCATCACCACCAGCCGCAGCCTCATCCGTCCGTGTCCATCTCGGCGAGAGCAAGGGCGCGCATCGGGGCTGTCGCCCAGCGTAGCTACTCCGGCCGCCACGCATTCGTCCTCCAGGGCGGGACTGCGCCGGGAGCTTCAAGAAGTTCAACACTAACAACATCCGTGACACCTTCTGTCTCCTGCTCCAGATGGACAATGTCCTCATGTTCGGTGGCCAGGTCCCGTCGTCAAGGTACAAACCTATTGCCCAAATCGAGTTGGTCATTTTATATGTGAGATCTCATCTGATTTGCTCCTTGTTGTTTGCACATAGCAGATCGGACGGATGGCTGGCCAGTTTGAGAAGGACGAGGTTAAGCTGCCCAGCTACATGGGAGTCAACGTCAATGGCGATGCGTTCGACCTGCAAATTTGTAGCAGAATTTTGTTGCGGTGTGTTGTGGTCGTTGTTCTCTTTAAATACCCCCTGTTGAATTTCTTCCACGTATCTCTTTATCACGACAAGGCAAGTGATAGGTTGCTGGGTTTTTTTAGAGAGAAGGCATACGCCCAACTTTATAAATAAAACCAAAAGGCAGGTAGCAATAACAACGTAGGAAAGTATCAAACACGCCAAGCCCCGACAGAGGGCAGACCTCCGAAAGAAAAAGTCAGGTACATGGCACCCTCGCCAGTACACGGCACGCAGGCCGGAGGAAGACCATCCAACTACGAGAACGGCGAGCATCCAACCAAAAGCCATTAATCATCCTGCACTTGTCTGCATAATAGAGACGCCGTCGTCCGGATTTTGGATGTCAGCCCCGATAGCGCCTCATGGTCGACGTCCTTAGTCAATGATTTCCATTGCTGCAGGAGAGCACAGGATTGAAATAAGCAGTCAGCAGGCTTAGCTGGAAACACGTGCTCAATAGTAAACTTGTTCTTAGTTGTCCAAAGGGGCCAGCAAAGTGCTCCCAAGCCCACCCAGAAGATCCGCCTAGAAACGCCAGACAGGTTGTGGGCCAGAGTACGCAACTCGGCAAAGGAGGCAGGGGCCCAAGAGACACTTAACCACTCCCGCACGCAGCTCCAGATGAGCTTAGCCAGGTGGCAGTGGAAGAAAATATGCTCTGTGTTCTCGACAGCACCACAGAGGGCACAAAACTGGGAGCCCGAGCCATTTCTCTTACGAATTTGATCAGCCGAAGGCAACCGACGCCGGAAGGCTTGCCACAAGAAGATTTTAATCTTAGGGGGGATGCGAGCCTTCCAGATCTGGGAGAACCGGTTAGAGGGCGTGCCCCCAACAAGCTTTGAGTAAAGAGACTTAACCGAAAAATGACCAGAGGTAGACAGTGGCCATATAACCGAGTCCCTGATCGTCGAGAGCGAAGGGAAGAGGGCAGTAAGACGCTGCCAATCTTCAAACTCTACAGGCGATAAGGAGCGCCGGAAGACCAGGTTCCACCCCTGGGAAGCTAACTTAGCAATAGAAATCACAGGGTCCGAGCAGTAAGAGAAAAGAGTAGGGAAGGTCACCGAGAGGGGTGAGTCTCCACACCACCAGTCTAACCAAAACCTAATCGAGGAGCCGTCCCCAACAACAAATTTAACAAAAGACTGAAAAATCGGCCTGACTTTGACCAAAGCCTTCCAGAACTGCGAGCTGCCACGCGGCAGGGCAAACATCAGGCTAGAGGAAGGAAAGTATTTAGCTTTCAAGATGTCCAGCCACAGGGGGCTGGTCCTCAGCACTCATAATCTTCCACCACCATTTAATCAGTAAGCATTGGTTCATGATGGACGTATTAATGATCCCTAACCCCCCAAGATTTTTGGGACGGCACATCAGCTTCCATTTAACAAAGCGGTATTTGCGGCGATTGTCCGCCGCATTCCAGTAGAAAGCCCCACGATGCTTATCAAAGCCCGCATGGGTCCCAGCCGACAAGAGGTAAAAGCCCATCACGAACATAGGGAGGGAGGAGAGGCAGGCATTAATAAGAGCAACTTTACCCGGGTTCGTGTTATATCTGCCCCGCCAGGGAAGGACCCTATTGCCCACCTTTGTGACCACCGGGGCAAAATCTTTAGCATGAAGCACGTCCGGGGAAATAGGAAGACCTAAGTATTTGAAAGAATAGGAGCCCAGCGTACAATTAAGAAGGTGATCCACTCGCATGGCTTCCAATTTGTCCACACCCGTAACCACCACTTCACTTTTGGCAAAATTAATCTTAAGCCCCGACATCGCCTCGAAGCAAAGAAGAATAAACTTTAGGTGTGCTAGGCAGGCGTCATTCAGCTCAACCATGATAATAGTGTCGTCCGCGTATTGGAGATGGGTCAGGCCATGGGGTATAAGATGAGAGCTAACAGGAGAGACATGCCCGGAGGCAGATGCCCTAGAGAGCAAACGAGACAGAGCATCCGCAACGAAATTAAACATGATAGGCGAGGCAGGGTCCCCCTGCCGTAGGACCCTACCATTGGCAAAGAATTTGCTCACCTGGCCATTAACATTAATGGCAGTGCGGCCTCCCGAGACCGGCTGCATAATTCTATGGACAAGGGGTCCCTCAAAACCTTTAGCCAGCAGCACCCTACGCAGAAAAGGCCAACTCACCGAATCGTAGGCCTTCTCAAAATCTAGTTTAAGAATCACCGCTTTCGTCTTGCGAATCTTAAGGTCATGGACGATCTCATGCAAGCACAAAACCCCGTCTAAAATGAAGCGACCTTTAATGAAAGCCGACTGAAAAGGACTGATGGTGCGGTGGGCAATGGGAGAGAGGCGAGAGGCCAACCGTTTGGCCGGAAATTTGGCGAAATTATTAATAAGAGCAATCGGCCTAAATTGCGAGATTAGATCCGCGCCCTTGACTTTAGGATTAAGGGTAATGACGGCATAATTAAGGCGGGAAACATCCACCGTACCCAACCAGAAGCCTTGAATAACTTGACATATGAGACCCCGCACTACGCCCAGAATTTTTTAAAAAAAGGGATAGAGAAACCATCAGGCCCGGAAGAAGCGTTTGGGTTAGCCGAGCTAATCACCTGCCAGATCTCCTCGTCAGATAAGGGAACCATCAGACCCAAGTTTTCGTCCGGAGAAATCCTAGACCCCGCATCCCAGAATCCAGAGCACAGATCCACCCCAGGATCAGGCTTAGAGCCCAGGAGATTGGAGTACAAACCCACAATGTGATCCAAAATGGCAGCTTGATCCGAGTTTCGGACATCGTTAATTAACAGGGAATCAATGAAGCATCTACGGCGTCTGCCAATGGCGATCACAAAGAAGTAAGTCGTCATCGCATCCCCCTTCAAGGTCCAGTTAAGGGCCCCACGTTGGCGCTGTTGGAAATATGCCCTAGAGGCAATAATAAAATGGTTATTATTGTATTTCCTTGTTCATGATAATTGTCTATTATTCATGCTATAATTGTATTGACCGGAAACCGCAATACATGTGTGAATACATATACCACAACATGTCCCTAGTGAGCCTCTAGTTGACTACCTCGTTGATCAACAGATGGTCATGGTTTCCTAACCATGGACATTGGATGTCGTTGATAACGGGATCACGTCATTAGGAGAATGATGTGATGGACAAGACCCAATCCTAAGCCTAGCACAAGATCGTGTAGTTCGTTTGCTAAAGCTTTTCTAATGTCAAGTATCATTTCCTTAGACCATGAGATTGTGTAACTCCCGAATACCGTAGGAGTGCTTTGGGTGTACCAAACGTCACAACGTAACTGGGTGGCTATAAAGGTACACTACAGGTATATCTGAAAGTGTCTGTTGGGTTGGCATGAATCGAGACTGGGATTTGTCACTCCGTATGACGGAGAGGTATCTCGGAGCCCACTCGGTAGGACATCATCATAATGTGCACAATGTGATCAAGGAGTTGATCACGGGATGATGTGTTACGGAACGAGTAAAGAGACTTGCCGGTAACGAGATTGAACAAAGGTATCGGGATACCGACGATCAAATCTCGGGCAAGTACTATACCGGTAGACAAAGGGAATTGTATACGGGATTGATTGAATCCTTGACATCGTGGTTCATCCGATGAGATCATCGTGGAACATGTGGGAGCCAACATGGGTATCCAGATCCCGCTGTTGGTTATTGGCCGGAGAGTTGTCTCAGTCATGTCTGCATGGTTCCCGAACCCGTAGGGTCTACACACTTAAGGTTCGATGACGCTAGGTGCCGGTGTCAAAACCGGCGGATCTCGGGTAGGGGGTCCCGAACTGTGCGTCTATGCGGATGGTAACAGGAGACAAGGTACACGATGTTTTTACCCAGGTTCGGGCCCTCTCGATGGAGGTAAAACCCTACTCCTGCTTGATTAATATTGATGATATGGGTAGTACAAGAGTAGATCTACCACGAGATCGGAGTGGCTAAACCCTAGAATCTAGCCTATGGTATGATTGTTGTTCGTCCTACGGACTAAAACTCTCCGGTTTATATAGACACCGGAGAGGGCTAGGGTTACACAGAGTCGGTTACAATGGGAGGAGATCTTCATATCGTATCGCCAAGCTTGCCTTCCACGCCAAGGAAAGTCCCATCCGGGCACGGGACGGAGTCTTCAATCTTGTATCTTCATAGTCCGGGAGTCCGGCCAAAGGTCTTAGTCCGGCCATCCG